TTTTCCATCCCCATCCCAGTCTGTGGGTGCACTTATTGATCCCTCAAACAAAACCCTCACTTTGTTCGTCGTGTTTCTTCACTTTTTGTCGTTCATCTGTTTTCGGGCAATTGTCCTTAGCTGATGAACGATTTGAATAATGGTCCTGTGCTTTGTCTTGGAGTTCTCTAACTCTTTCAATATTATAGATCTTGGGAGGTAGGATGTAGATGGGATGTAGATGTAGATGGGATGTAGATGTAGATGGGATGTGAGATGTAGATGGGATGTAGATGTAGATGGGATGTAGATGTAGATGGGATGTAGATGTAGATGGGATGTGGATCTTTGTAGATTTCTAGATCTTGGGGATTTCTAGATCTTTTTCTTATTGGTCGTACTTTGTGAACATCTTGATCTTGAAGAACATCTTGATGAACGGTGCAACTTTAGAAGTCGAACACACATAACTCTTCATCCAAAAGCGGCTCAGCGGCTCAAATTTTTTACAATCCCATTAACAACTTTATTCAAAATATTCCTATTTTCAGTTTTCAGTAACAATCTTTGATTTAAAAGATTCACTTTCGATCAGAGGTACACATCGTTGCGCGTTTGCGTTTTCTTTCTCTCTCTCTTTCTCCGTTTCACTCACCATTTTCTTTTGCCAACGGCCAATCGGGGTTTTTTTAAACTACAACGATTGATCGGAATTGAGAGAGTTCATAGAAAAATCTATTTTCAGTTTCAGCAAAAGATTCTTAATTAATCATTTGGCAACTTCAAGACAATTATTGAAGGATAAGAGCCTGATAAAAATCAATCTTTTGTTACTTTATATTCCATTATCTTTATCTGAATCGCTTTAACCCATTATTCTTCCCCTCCCCATTTTCATAACCTTTCCTCATTTCTATCACCATTTTTCATCTCCCCACTCACATTCTCCATTTTCTTTTCTTTTCTTGCAAAAGCCGCCTTAATCGACTCGTTTTTCGTCTATTTCATCCTTCACACATCAATTTTCTTTCACCTAAAACTATTTGAAGCTTTTAACTCTATTATTATACTTTCAAACACTTTTTACTGCTACTACTACTACTTTACACTAGAAATATTTTGTCATAACTTTGAATCTGAAATCTCAATCATTTTCAGATGGGGGATTCATCAGCTGGTTTTCCCTCGACAACCGAGGACTCCATCATTGGAATGGGAAGATTGAGAGAACTCGAGCAACTTTATCTAGCTGGGCCGAGTCGAGGTTTGCATAGGGAAAAGTTAAGAAAGAAAGATTCAATAACAGAAAAACTTTTATCAAGTTCTTCTCTTTGCAGGTGATTCGATGTCATTCGAGGCTCTCCTCGACACACTCATCTGTTTATTTGATGAGTGTCAAAATAGTACGCTCAGAAAGGAAAAAACGGTCACCGAATTCGTCGAATCAGGTGAAATAACAAGAAATTTTTAAAAAAATGTTTAAAAATTGTTAAAAAATGTTAAAAAAGATGTTAAAAAATCGTGTATAAGTTCAACGTTCAAACTCATTTCAACATTTCGAAAAGTAATGATGCTCAAACAGTTTAACGATCAAGCTTTCCTTATAAAACATTCCAGAATAGCTGTAAACTCAAGTTTAATATTTAGCGCATAAGTAAATCTGTTAAGAAAACGAATGACAACTTCTCTAAAAAGTTCCACAATGAGTTTTCCCATTGCCAATCATTTCCCGATATCATCGACAACATTTTCTTTCAGCTTGTCCCCTCCATTCAATCCCCATCTAAGCCTAAACCATTTCTTGTTGTTTCCCCCCATCATCAATTCTATTTCCTGTCCTATTATTTGCTTTCTTTTCTACCGGGTAGCATTTCTGGTCCATCAGACACAAAACTCCTTTCTTTTTCTCTCGTTTTTTTCGGCCACGTTTAGCCTCTTGTGCGTTGTGGCGCCTCGGGAGAATATCTGCAAAAAACTCATCCGGAAGCATCTAAGAATCATTTAGTCTCAACAATTCTTCAATAATCATGCCTATCTGTATTGATATTGAGCCTGGGACTTGTAAAAGTTTTCACGATTTTGAATGGGTCACCGAGCTCACGGAAACGGATCTAAATATGAATGGTAGAATTTTGCTAGAGATTTCGAATCTAAGCTGAATATCTTTTAAAGTATTTGAAGCGATTCCATCTTGACAGCTGAATATCTTTTAAAGTATTAGAAGAGATCCCATCTTGACAGCTGAATATCTTTTAAAGTATTAGAAGAGATTCCATCTTGACAGCTGAATATCTTTTAAAGTATTAGAAGAGATCCCATCTTGACAGCTGAATATCTTTTAAAGTATTAGAAGAGATTCCATCTTGACAGCTGAATATCTTTTAAAGTGTTTGAAGCGATTCCATCTTGACATCTTGACAGAGATCTTTTAAAGTGTTTGAAACGATTCCATCTTGACAGCTGAATGTCTTTTAAAGTATTTGAAGAGATTCATTCATTCATTCAGAGATCAGCCCAATACTTTTACTCCATTTTATTGTAACTTTATAGTAACCTTACCTTCAAAAATTTAAAGAATTTATATTTAAATTAATATTAATAATATATTTCCTCAAATTTCCAGTGAAACCGGTGATCGCAAAAGCGAAAGCCCTTCGACTATGCAAGAAGAGACTTCGAGGTGTTGAAAGTGATCGGCAAGGGGCATTCGGTGAAGTGGCTGTTGTGCGAATGAGAGAAATTGGAGAGGTGACGAGAAAAATTTTTGGATAAAACATGCAAATTTGAATTCAGATCTACGCGATGAAGATTTTGAATAAATGGGAAATGCTGAGAAGAGCGGAAACGGCGTGTTTCCGCGAGGAAAGAGATGTGCTCGTTTATGGGGATCGACGCTGGATCACCAATTTGCATTTCGCCTTTCAAGATGACAGCAATTTGGTGAGTAAAAATGATCAAAGACTTCGTTGAGATCTTTAAATGAAGATCTTAGGCTTGAATTTAAATTGATTGCGCTTAAAATAGTTGACAGTTATATTTAACTTTTCAAGCTTACTATTAGTCAAGTGTACAGATTCTTTTTTATTGGCCAGGAATAACTCTTTATCAAACTTTTTATCCCTGGCAACCAATACCGCCGTGGCCGATTGACTAAGAGCTATTTATCTTAGTCGGAAGGTTCAATCCCACAGTTAGATTATTGCTTCCTTTCGGGCTTTTTCTTTCTACATTTAAGGCCTGCACTTGTGTATTTTTGTACCACAATTTGTGTGAATAAGTATATTTCTAGTACCTCGTAATGGACTACTACGTTGGCGGTGACATGCTCACATTGCTTCCAAATTCGAGGATCACATTCCCGGTGAGTGGTAACGTTTAAAACATTTTATCGCTAAATATACAAAAGAAAGTGAAAAAAAAAAAATTACAACAGAAAAACTAAACACAATCCTTGAGAAAACGAGAAAATCACGTAAATTAAATAATTTTAAACTTTTAAGAAGCTTTAAAATATTTTAAAGAAGAAAACGCGCATAACTTTAACTAGAAATCGAAATGAAATGAAAGAAATAAGCTTTTCTCTTTCTGTAAGGATTGCGGTGCATGAATTTCTCGTTTTAGGTTATTTAGGTACCATGTAGTGTATTTTAAATCAAATTTTCGAGCAACAAATGATATTTTCCAGAGGATATGCCCCGTTTCTATATGGCCGAAATGGTGTTAGCCATCGACTCCGTTCACAATTTGGGCTATGTGCATCGGTGAGTGAAAAGAAGAAAAAATTCTTTGCATTTGTAGTTTCTTTTCTATGACACAATTTAGTGACGTGAAACCGGACAACGTTCTCCTCGACATACACGGGCATATTCGGTTGGCTGATTTCGGTTCGTGTCTTCGATTGATGCCTGATGGAAGTGTGGCGTCGAATGTCGCTGTTGGAACGCCCGATTATATTTCGCCTGAGATTCTCAGGTCAGTATAGGAATTGAAGATTTTCGGGAAAACTCTTTAAAAATTTGAATAACTGATTCAGTTTTACGTTTTATAATTGGAAAATGAATCGAATCAATCATCGAGTGTGTTCCTCGCGGAGTTTTGGGTTTAACGTTTTGTGTTTTTTAAATTGCATTTTTTAAAACGCACACTTGGGAAAAAATTAGCGTACTTTGCGCAAAATTATTGCAAAAAAATGATGCAAAAATCACGAGCCCCGCATTATATAGGACACTTTTTAAAGATACTCAGCCGTTTAACTGATTTGGTGGGAAATTCCCCTTCCAATGTAAAAAGGTTTTTTTTGAAAAACCTGCGCAAAAAATTGGGTTTATATTTGTCTCGCGCAGGCGCACTTTTTAGAAAACGCATTACGCGACAGTTACTCGGGATATACTCGAGTAAAAACTTACTCATGCAAATTTACTCGAGTCATTACTTACTCGCGAGGAACACACTCTAATCAATCAAGAGTTGAGAGAAAAATCTCCAAGAAACGCATTGTAATTTCAATAGTTCAATAGTTGAGCTATCGTTTGATCATTGAAATCGATCTCGATTGATTCGAATGATTTGAAATGACTAAGTGCTAATATCTTACAATATCTAATATCTAATCTAATAACTTGTTTGAGAAGATTTAAGCCAATTTCGGACATGTGACACTTTCGGGATTTCGAGGATTTTTTGATTTTCAAACTTTTACTAATTCTATTAGATTTCGAGCATATAATTGATGATTTATTGGTTTGGAATTGAAGCTTTTCGAGCAAACTCTTCTAAATTTGAATAATTGATTCAGTTTTACGTTTTATAATTGGAAAATGAATCGATCGATCGATCGGAAAATCGATCAAGAGTTATGAGAGAAAATCTCCGAGAAAACCCATTGTAATTTTCATTTTTCATTAGCAAATGCGAATTAAATATCGACATTATACAACTGAATAGCTTTATGAATGCAATTTATATAAGTAAATAAGTTTATGGATAAGATTTTCTACAACTGAATAGCTTTTTTTAGAGCGATGGAGGACGGCCGAGGTCAGTACGGAAAGGAGTGCGATTGGTGGAGTCTCGGGATTTGCATGTGAGTTTTTAAAATTTTGATTTTAATACAAATTTTATTGAGTAAATCTTTAAAACGTTTACTTACTTACTTACTTATTCAATTTTTTCAAAACTTGATTTCTAGGTACGAGATGCTGTACGGGAACACTCCCTTTTACTCGGAGCGCCTCATCGACACTTATGGGAAAATCATGAGTCATCAGGTTTGTGTAATTGAGTAGAAATTCGATAATATTGAAGATAATATTGGAGATAATATTGGAGATAATATTGAAGATAATATTGTAGATAATATTGAAGATCTTTTTGAAATATAAATTCGATAATATTGTAGATCTTTTTGAAATAGAAATTCGATAATATTGAATGCTTCGATAATATTGAATGCTTTTGAAATATTCAAATCAAAATTCAACATAAGTAACCACCTTTTCTAGGAGATGCTCGATTTCAACGACGATGACATTGATTGGAACGTTTCCGAAGAGGCCAAAGATTTGGTTCGAAAATTGATTTGCCCAAGAGAGGTGAGAATGTAAATTTGCAAATAATCAAAGAAATTTGCTGCAGGTTCGTCTCGGAAGAAGTGGTTTTGCCGATTTCAAAGATCATCCATTTTTCTCGGGAATCAACTGGGAGACGATTCGTAACTCAAATCCTCCTTATCGTCCCGAAGTCTCCAGTCCGACCGATACGTCGAATTTCGATGTTGAGGACGATTTGACGCCAAGTGTAAGCACAAGAATTTGAATTCGAATATTTGAAGTATTTGAAATTTTATAGGAAGTACGTGCTCCAAATGTGACAGCCGCTTTCACGGGACATCATCTACCATTCATCGGCTTCACATATACACATGGAAGGTTTGTATAAGAATTTTTAAAAGAATAGTCTTCTCATTACTAATACCGTAAATATTCTAATAGAAAAGCCTCTTATAAGAGCGTCGTGTAGTAAAATGATGAAAAATCGGCTTTTTTTGCTACTTTTCAATCATTTTTGATGAAAAATCGACTCTTTTTGCCACTTTTCAATCATCTTTTCCTAAACGCTGGTTTATGCTAAAAAATATGTGCTATATCTCAAAAAATCACCCATCTTCTCTACTTTAATTTGATACCTAAACCAGCAGAAATAAACGTACTCGTGCTGAGATATGAGCGTTTGTTTGAGAGTAAACTACGCGATGCTCCTATACGGGTCCTTCTTTTAGAATATTTACGTTTCTATTCAAATTTAGTCTCTTATCCGATGCGGCAAACCTATCAAATGTGATTAATGGAAGAAAAGCTCCAACGCAAGGAGATGATGTTCGACCGGCAGCCATTGAGGCTTATGAAAGACGCTTAGAACAATTGGAAGTCGATCGGAGTGAACTCACGAGGAAATTACATGGTTTGAATCGAATTTGAATCATCTATTCAAAACTTAGAAGCAAATCAAATTGTTATCTCGAAGCTGACCGTCGATCAAAATGGAGATCACGCGGAACGGGAGAAACAACATGAGCAAACAATTGCACAGCTTCGAGATGAGATTCAGGTATGGCTCAGTGCTCAGCTCAGTGCTCAGCTCAGTGCTCAGCTCAGTGCTCAGCTCCAGTGCCCTAGTCTCAGCTCAGTGCTCAGCTCAGTGCTCAGCTCAGTGCTCAGCCCAGTGCTCAGCCCAGTGCTCAGCTCAGTGCTCAGCTCAGTGCTCAGCCCAGTGCCCAGCTCAGTCAGCCCAGTGCTCAGCCCAGTGCTCAGCTCAGTGCTCAGCTCAGTGCTCAGCTCAGTGCTCAGCTCAGTGCTCAGCAAATCTGATTTCCAATTTCATTCAAAAACTTTACAATTCCAGATCCTCAAGAAAAGACTCGCGGAAGAAGCGGCTGCCTCACAACGCCCACAAAAGGACACTACACAAGAGGAGATGGAGCGAAAGATGAAAGAGTTGAAAGAGAAAAATCGGCAACTCATTCTCGAGAAGTCTGAATTACAACGAGTGGGTCTTGCAGTTATTGAGGTTGATGTAACTGGGCAGAAAAGGCGACAACTCAGCCAGCAAAACTCACCGAATATTCTTGGTTGGGGTGGAGAGACCCCACCACCCGATCCCCAATCTTCTAGTAAAGCTTCGTCACCTCGCGTTGATTTGTTAACAAAAGATTTCCCCTGGACACAGAATAAGCATTTTTTAGAAGCCAGCACTTTTGCGGATAAGTCTTTTTCAAGGATGCTAGTTTATCAGAGCGTAAGTCTCGTCCCCGTGCTTTGGGAGCTGATCGAGCTCGTCTCGCCGCAACAGCAGCTCGTTCTCCCTCTCGCAAACAAGCAGCGATTCAGCTCCTCGTAGTCGTAAACGAATGCGTTTAGATTCGCTTGATTTGGCTACAAAATTCCCAACAAAATTATCTATACCAAAGAAAAAGAAAACTCATCATCGCCAAATTAAGGCCACCATTGTCGCGTGCGCTCTTATAGCTTTGGGGGTCACTGTTTTACACAATTTTGGGCTAAATTCGTTGCTCGGACAAACCGAACAGTTTATTGAAAAAGTTTGGGTTTTTATGCGCGGTAAAGTTCATTTGAGAGCGAGTGATGAGGAGTGTTATCGAGTTTCGATTTTTGGGATAAGAAAAGTTTGAGCGAATTGAATCTCTAGGGCTTGTTGAGGCTTGGATTAGCATAATATTAATTGAATTGATTAGCATAATGCTAATTGAATCTAATTTCAAATAGGTAGTAGTGATTGAGATTTAAAAATTTGCAAAATGAAATCAAGGAACAAAGAAGCAGCTTATAAAAAAATAATGCTAATTGAATCTAATTTCAACTCTAAATCGGGAAAGCACAATCCCCCTTGTGTTCTTTGTGTTTGTCTATGTTCAAATGTTTTTGTCCTCCGTTTTTTCGCTTTTTAAGTGCCTTTTTTTTTGTGTTCGTCGATATATTGTAGCTGTTCAATTGTATCCTTGTAAGAATGCTAATGTCAAATGCTAATGAAATCCTATTCGTTTTTCAGAGAAATACTAGGCAAATCTGATTTTGTTTGCTTCTCGAAAATAAAGATTTCATCAGGAAAAAGGAAACGAGATCATTTCTGAAAACACAGACGATTGTGAGTGTGAGTGGAGGAAAAAAAAATTGTGGTTTGCTGTGTTTTGAAATGAATCGAATGACTTTCCTTCCCGATTTTTGCCTTTTTTTCTTCCTTTCTTCTCTGTCTTTTCGTGTTGTTGTGGTGTTTGGCCTGATAAAGGAATACTTTTAGAAAGCTTTAACAACTCCTAGTATCGTGTAATCCTTTTAGCTTTACCGTTTTCTAAAAGGTGCCCTACTTTGGCTGTTTTTTTAAACCAACAGCTAGATTAAGATATCTTTTCCCGAAGTACACCTTTTAGAAAACAGAGATAGTCTGTTTTGACGTGTTTGAGTACTTTCTTTTTGTGTGTGTGCTTTCCCGATCAAAGGTTAAACTATCAAAAGATCATGTAAAGTTGAATGTGTCAAAATCCTCTTTACTAATATCTTTTTTCATTCTTTAGGAACGCGAGGAATTCCAAGAGAAACTTAGCTCACAAACGGCTGAATGGAAAGAAGCGGTGAAACATCGAGAATTGGCAAAACAGGATTTTGAAGAGGTTTGTGAGAATTAGAAGAAATGGATGGATTCGAGAATTAGAAGAAATGGATAGATTCGAGAATTAGAAGAAATGGATAGATTCGAGAATTAGAAGAAATGGATTCGACTAACTTTATTGCTTTCAAATACGTAAATGAGCTACAGACAGACAAAAGTTGAGAATTGATAACGATAAAAAGCAAAAATTGAATCTCTCATAAAAATCACGTTTGTTTTAGTTGAGCAATGAGCTCACGAATGAGAAGAATCGAATCCGGAAACTCGAAAAAGAATTGCACGAAAAGGAGACGAGAACCGATCAGTTACAGAAAAAGGTAAAAATTGATATTACTTTATTCAGATTTACTGAATTAAGCTAATAGACAAGATCTTTTACAGGTTGATGATCTTAAATCTGACATGCGAAAGCTTGACCAAACAAAGCAGGACTCTGACATGAGTCTTTCGGGTTTACAGAGAGAACTCGAAAATGAGAAATTGGAACGAGAAAGCTTACAGGTAAATATTACTAAAAAAAACTTGATAACAAAATTTAGAATCAAATCGCTTCCCTTGGCAGCAATTCAAGTGAAGAAGCGAGAAGACATGCTGAAGAAAGAGAACGTTTGAATGAAAGACATAATGAAATCATTGCACAAGAAGAGATCAAAAGAAAACAATTACAAGAACATTATCAGGTTTGTGATTGATTGAGATCAAAGTTTAGAAAACATTTCTAGACGCAACTCTCCGATTTACAAACACAACTGGACGAGCGTGATGCTGAGCTGCGAACAGGAAAGGAAAAACTCGATGAAGATCGTCGAGGACTTGAGGAACAAACGAAAAATGCCGAGGTTAGAAGTCGAATTGATTCGGAAATAGAATCTATACGTATTTCTTCGAACGAAGACCGGTAAAAGTATCATCGCGTACTCCTGCATAGCAACTCCCTTTTAAAATTTCTTTTCTGCCTAAAAGCTTTCAATGAAGTGCTATAGGGCTGGAAAATGACTCAAAAATCTGTTAGCTCATGTGGTATTTTTGAGCCATTTTCCCAGCCCTATCGCACCTCATTGAACTTTTATGCAGAAAAGAATCACAAAGACTGCTACAAAGGAAGTACGATGACCCTTTACCAGTTTCTATTCGAAGAAATACGGTAAAACAATTCTAAGCCATAAACCAATCAATCAGTACGGAATTGAAAGTAATGTTTAGAATCATTCGAGCGTGCTTTGAGAAGCTTTTACGTGAGAACAACAATCAGTTATTGGTGGAGAATGAGACATTGAGAGAAAGATTGTCACAACTCGAAGATGAGCTGTAAGTTCGAAAAGAATTTCAAGTGTTCAGTGATAAGTGGAGCTCTCCTTAAAATTCTCCTTTAGAAAATCGCACTCTGGATTGAACACCGAGCAAATGCACGAAATGATTCAGTGGATCAATCAGGAGAAGATCACGCGAGAGCATATGGAGGTATTAGAAAAGATTTGGAAAAAGAATTTTTGTTTAGATTCTTGCGACAAAGATCTCTGGGGGAGTGGAGACATTAAAGACTCAATCACTAAACGGTACGCCTGTCTCCACATCGAGATTGCCATTCTCAGAGCATGGTGTGCTTTTTTTTCTCCTTTGTGCTTATGAAAAATGTTGAAAATTGTCCGATACTTGTTGCGATTTTTACCGAGTTTGATGCAAAATGGAAATAAGTGTGTGTTTGGTGTGTAGCATGTTCTGAAGAGTCAGCTATATTCAAATACCTGACTTACAACTCATCTTCGAGTTGTGACAATCTTTCTCTCAATTCTATTAGAAGTCTTAAGATGAAGATAGCGTTAGGAGATTGTGAACAAACAAAAAATGGAAATTTTTTACCATTTCAGATAGCATTTAAGATATTTATGTAGTTAGCGCTAAGTACTTTTTAAGATCCGATATCAGCTTCTGATTGTAGAAAGGCAGTCTTGGCTGTAGAAAGTCAGTCTTGGCTATAGAAAGTCAGTCTTGCCTGTAGAAAGTCAGTCTAGCCTGTAGAAAGGCAATCTTGCCTGCTTAAATATTAGAAAGTCAAAACACCCTAATCCCTAGTGAATCTTCTTACACCTATGAATGATACTTGTATATCTGCATTGTCTCAGAAATATTTGGCTTTATATATGCACCGAAACAAATCAAAGAAACAACAAATCCCTTCTAGGCCACATCTACGCTAATCAAACCCCCGCATCCGCCTGGGGCTCGAAGCGGCAAAAGCGATTGGCAGCGATGAACGATCAAGATGTGCAGAAATCTCTTCAAGCTGAACTTCGTGCCAAAGAAAGTCTACAGGTGAATATTTAATGCAATACGCAAATTTTAAAGCTAATTGACAAACTGAAACTGTAACTTGTACGTTGTAAACTTTCAGGAAGAGATCAAGAAGCAACGAGCGCGCAACTATCAACTCAACTCCCGTCTTCAACAAGCTGATGAAACGGTATCAATTTATTCGATAAACAAAAACTCTACACTAGTTAAAAGTTTAAAAAAAGGCTCCTAGAATTAGATTGGAATTAAATTTCCGGATTACTGAGGTCAGGGAAAAGTTTTGAAGATCATTTTATCAATGATTCATATTCTAGATTGCGATTCAACGCCGCGAAATCGACGAAATCACCATTCAAAGAGAACAACTACGATCTGGTATCATTTTTTTTTTGCTTTAATTAATCAATTTTCATACATTTCTTTAGCTCTTTCATCGATTAACAATGGTGATATGCAGGCCAGCTTTTTCAATATGGTGAACACGGATAGCCCTGTTGGAACTGAAGGTAGAATAGCTGAATTTTGATCCAGAATATTACCGTAAATACTCTAATAGTACCCGCCTCGTACAGTCGCGTAGTCGCTAAAAAGTTTTCGTTAGCTAATCCAACTCACCAATCAGTTTCCAGCTCGTTCGGCTTTATCCGGGTCGATCCGTGATTCGATCAGCCTCTCGCAGAGCACCGACTATGAGCCGCCGAATTCGAGTCTACGAAAACGCGAAGAGGAGCTTCGACGACAGAATTTGTAAGGAAAAATATAAAATATTTAGTTAAGCCAAAAAATTTAGGCATTCACCAGTCTGCTACGAGAATACGAGACCGGGACAGACGTCGGCGTCGAGCTCGAGCACGGTTGCTGTTGGACGAATGCACAGTCCACAGGTAAACGGGAAAATCGTTTTTCTGATAGGGAAATGTGGGAATGTTTTCGCGTTTTTTGACATTCAAAAAATACCTAATAAATCCTTATTTTAGATCCTAAACTCTCAAATCAACGCGGCGCTCTCGGGCCGAGGCCATATGTTCACCCATGTTCATCTCTCATCACCAACGAAATGTGGTCATTGTACGAGTATTCTTGTGGGATTGGATCGACAAGGTTGAAAGCTACAGTTTTTTTAATTCCCTTTTAAACTTTCAGGTCTTTTCTGTCAGAATTGTCAATACCCATGTCATGTTCATTGCATGAGTCGAGCTCCGGCCACTTGCCCCGTTCCACCAGAATCTCGTCGGCCAATGGGTCAATTTTTATCCTAAAGTTATTTTGAAAAATTAATTACTGGTTATTTTCAATTTTTAAAAGAAAAAAGGTTTAGGTATTGATCCATTGCGTGGCGTTAGGACAGCTTATGAAGGACAGGTGAAAACACCGAAACAAGGGAGGCGTTAAAAGGTTGAATTTTGTGAATTGTTTTTGAATGTCTAGTGTTTTTGAAACGATAAAGTTGTTTATTTTATTGTAATAATGAACTTCCAGGGTTGGCAAACGACATTTGTCGTCGTTTGTGACTTCAAATTGTTGCTTTTCGACTGCACACCGAACAAGGAGAAAGGCAGCCCTATGCCCCCGATATTCAGCCAAATGTTCGACAGGTGAGTGCAGAAAAATTTGGGCTAATATTTCATAAATGATTTAAACACGATTTAAGGTTTGCAACCTTTTTTTTCTTTCCAGGTGTTGGACATGCGAGACTCGAACTTTCCAAGTGCAATCGGTCACCGAGCACGATGTGATTCACGCGACTAAAAACGATATCCCAAAAATCTTCAGGGTTAGTTTAAAATATTTTTAGTTTTTAACTGATTCTAAATATAAGTGTTGTGTCCGATTTAGATTCAATCTAAATCGGACGTCTCTCTATAGATTGAACAATAATATAAACATGTTACGAGAAAGAGAAAGATTAATATATGTTCTTAAGCGTTTTCTGTAGTTTTTCTGCATTTTCAAACGTCTTTTTTGATTGATTATTTCATAGTTGGGTTTTCTTTTTCAGAAAAAGACAGTAAAACAGTAAAACAAAAAGTCAGTAACAGACCTTTGAAAAATGCAGAAACTACAGAAAACGCTTAAGAACATATATTAAGCATGTTTATATTATTGTTCAATCTATATAAGATTTAGATTGAATCTAAATCGGACACAACATATAAAATAAGTCATTTACTAATTTTAAGCCACAAATTTTAGATTACAACTTCACAAATCCAAGGAACTTTCGGCTCCGAGGACGCCAAACAGTACACATTGTTGATGGCTGAAACAAAAGATGTAAAGTTTTTAAAATACTATTTTTGCTATAAATATTAGATCTTAAACATTATTAAACAATTATTAAACAATTGAATATTCAATAAACAATTTAGGAATGCAAGAAATGGGTGGTGGCGTTAACCGAGCTGAAGAGTTTACTGAAAAAGTCTCGACTTCCTGATAAAACGGCATTTGTGTACAAGGTGAGACTTTCTACATCTAGATTTACCTTGGAAAATGAATTACTTACTTAAACTTTTCTCATTTAGGAGCTCTTTGATGTGAATTCTCTTCCGATGATTAAATTCGCTCAATGTGCTGTCATTGTTGATCCAAAGAAAATCGTTGTTGGCTTCACCGATCATGGCCTCCTATTCAGTGGAATTGGACAGAGAGGTGATTGACGGAGAATTAATTAAATTTCAATTAAATTAATTCAAAAATTGTTTTACTTTAATTTAAAGTTAACAATATCATGTTTTCATTTCAATGAACAATTTCAAATCTAATTTTACAGACTTTGGTCGCTGTCGGTGGTGAAAAGAGGAGAACAAGGGGCGGTGTGTGGGAAAAGTCGAATATGTTGCGTCGGAGCAATTATTTGTGGCAATGGTTGGGGAAAGGAAATGAGAGGTGAATAGAAACTTTTGAAATTAAAATAATTGAATGGATTTTGAAGATTATCTAGGCTAACAATGACAATGCTAACAATTTGCAATGATTAGATGACCTTCATCTACCGTATTTTCTATAATAGTAGTGCAGTCTGTAATAGTGGTGCAGGCAGGAGGGGGTTGAAAAATAGTAGTGCGCACTACTATTACAGAAAATACGGTAAATCATTGCAAACGAAAATTTTCTCCTTTCAGACATTTGCGTCTGATTCCAACAGCGGCACTTGATGGTCGAGATTTGAAATGGATTAAGCTAAATGATACAAAGGGATGTCATTTGATGGCTGTTGGGGGAATTGATGGAAGACAAACGTGAGTGTTTAAATGATATTAAAACTATTGTATCTTTTATTTTTCAGCTATATTGCCGCTGCAATGAAACGAGCCGTCATTCTCTTCCAAATTGATCGCAGCGAGAAACGACACAAACGAATGAGCTTTGTAAGTACAAGATGAAGATATTCAGTTAACAATAATGCTTAAAAGTCTCTCAATAAGCGAATTTCTAGGATCTCGCAATGCCGGGTCAACCCCAATGTATGGCCATCATCGGTTCTCGTCTCGTTGTCGGTTTCCCCTAACGGGTTCAGCTCGTGGAATCTCGCCGATGATAGCCCGAAGATTTCTTGTAGGTTTAATATTTTATTATAATAATAGATCATTTGTTTCAACATTCTTCTTGTTTAGCATTGGTGAATCACGAGGATCAATCGTTGTCTTTCCTTTCTCAACCCGGCTACGAGGCTCAAATGCTCATCCCAACCCCATCAACCATTGGTGCTGGAGAGATCGCTGAATATCTTCTCGTTTTCAATAAACTCGGTGTTTACGTCGATCAATATGGTTAGTTTTTTTTTAAACCGAGACATTTCTCATCTCTTTCTCAAACATTTCTCATTCTAGGACGAAGATCTCGTTCTCAAGAGTTGATGTTCCCATCATTACCTCGTGCAAATGGTTTCACCTATCTTGCCCCCATATCTTTGTGTTTATTCCGAATCGCAAATTGATGTTTTCAATGTTGGCGCTGCTGAATGGGTGCGAAACGATTAATTTAAGGTATAAAGAAGTTAAAAATTTAAATAAAAATATTTTAGACAAGCATTCCCGTTGACAACGAGTGGCTTGATTTCGTCGTGTTGTCAACGATTTCCCTTACATGGTTGTGTTAAAGTGAGAAACTTGGAGGTTTGAGGAAATTTCTGTAAAACTAATAAACTCTTTTTTTAGTCGAAGACGCTATTTTATTGCCGGATAATGTTTCTAAATATGGCGGAAAGCTGAAAAGGCCTGGGAAGAGAAAATTCACCGTTCGAACTCCGGGAAAAGATGAGCAAAAGTGGGGAAATTGTGTAAAAATTGATAGATATTGAAAATGTTAATTGAAGATTCTAATTAGATATGCTTTTTTTCTTGCTCTAACATCTCCTATTCTTTTTTCAGAGCCGTTGATCGCCGCAGTGCTTTGCCGATCTCTGGTCCATCTGACTTCAAACATCTCTCGCATATGGGACCCGATTCAGCGCAAAATTTCATCGATCTCGCGAAAGAGCAAGACAAAAAACAAGCGGATAAGGTACCTTTTACAAAAAAAAAGAGCCCACAACCCACCCGACACAGCACATTCAGAACGGGCCACGAAAAATTTCGTCAATCGTGCACTTCTAGCAATTTGTCGGTCTCATCAAAGAAAATAGTTCAAGTTAGCACGCTTCAGAAAATGAAATTTCTGATTTTATCCTTAAACATTTGGCCAATTTCGTTTGCTTCTTCTCCCTCTTTTTTAGCCTGATTTCATTGGAAATTTTGGTTCTTCTTTGTTTGTTTCCCCCAATTAAACAGCTGCTTTCTAATTGAGAGACGCTTTTCGGGAGATTTCAAAAAGAGTGATGTTTTATTTTTAACCGGGATGGTGCTAGAAATTGTTTTTAAGTATTTCCAAAGTGAATCTCATTTTTTTAGAGTCGTAGTCTTCTACCTCCAATCATGCGCTCAACGTCGAGCACTTCGTCGAATGTGAATTCAGTTCTGGGTGGTAGTAAAAAGGTGGGTGAAGGAAAAACTTCAAAATTCTGAACAGAGTTAACTTAAAGTTATTTCTAATTGTTAGCTAATCTATTCTCAATCGTTTTTATTCTAGGAACTAGAACAAATGGTTCGGAATCGACCGGTCTCTTCACATAGCCGAAGCTCTGATGGTTCTAGTCTGGGAAGGGATGGGAAACAAGAAAATGCGTATATGGTAAGTTGATCATACATCGAAACTTTATAGTTAACATTTTTAAAAAAAAGTTTTCAGGGATAAATCGGCAATGAGCTTTACCATCGGTTGGTCAAATCATTGTGCTTTTTTTTACTAAATTTCACAACCTTATGTGTCAAATTTCCCGCACCCTTTTAGTCTTCAAAAAGCTTCTATCTATACCTAATTTCTTTGCTTTCTATTTTTTTTTGCATTAAAAACGATTAAGTCAACAATTGGAGGCGTTTCGTGACAGTTTTTGTGTTAAAAGAGTGAGCTCTTTCTATCGGATAAGCTAACAAATGCTAATAGTTACAATATATTTAGATTAGATTAGATTAGATCCACAATGGCTGGATATCTTTAAAATTAAAGTTGCTAGTAAAAGAGAGAACATAGAGAACTGCTAAATGAATACTTTATACAGCAAGAAAAACCCAGTTGCTAAAAAAATAACGGTAGGGAAAATCGATTTTGGCCAAATTTATCCAACCTTTTCTGTTCCAAACCGTTCCTTTCAATGCTTTATCGAAATACACGAGTTTTCATGAAAATCGTTGTATCTTCAAGTGAAAAGATTGCAAAAATAGACTCATTTTTCCAGGAACCGATCTCTCGCCAACGCCAATCCATCCCGGCCATCTCTCCACCAACTCTTCCCAATTCTCCCATTCACACAAACACTATCAACTAGTTTCTTGTGTAATCTTTTTCATTTTAAACGCAATCTTTTCCGGGTTTCCCCCTAGCAGTTGAAATTTTGGCAATCTCTTCGCGAAAATATGCAATCGTTATCTATTTATTTTTTTTTGCATAATAGCTATTCTTTTTCTTTGATTTAAAGTCTTCCTTTTCCCCCCCGAATTGCTCACTTAAACTGAACTCATCATTGCTAAATGTTTTACCCCTTTTCACTTTCGATTATAATATTTAAGTTAATATTTATCTTTTGGAGTTCTGTAACATCTTTAAACCATTTTTTTTTTGAATCCGGTATGTCGAAGTGCTCTATTATACGACGATTGTTAGAGACAATAAGCTTTTGGTTTCGACTTGACGAAGCTCACAAGTTTAAGTACTGAAAGTTGTAAGTAATTACAGTATACCTGAATGAAAACGCTTCAAGCTAACTGAGTACCTTTAGTTTATGAGGAATTTGAGAGGAATTCAGTCTGGACACTAGACATCTTTTTATTCCGGTATAATGAACAAGAGATTAAAAAGTTCTACAGTAACTTGAAGTCACTTGTGAGCTTAACTTGTCTTGTAGTCTTGTAAGCAATTTCTCTAACAATCCCCATTCGTTATCAATTCTATGAAAAGATCTAGTTATTTACACCCAGGTAGCTCACTCCAAAAAAGCCTGTCTTCATTTTTTAATTTATTTTGTGCTTTTCGATGTGATCACAGCTAAAAAAAATATCATCTATATCTACTATATTTTTTTACTTTTTCTGCCCACACTTTCCCTTCTTCTCTCCTTGTTGTGCTACTAATCATTTTTTTTCCTGTTATGTACATTTTTACATGAGGTTTATACACTAGAACAAATAAATATCTATTACCAAAAGAGAATGAAGTCACATCTGAACCCAAAACGGTTATTTCTACCAAGCTAGAAATTTCTAAAGCACAATTTCTTTTAAATTTTCCTACACAAAACTTTTGTGGTGTAGGTGAATTTTAAACGTTTTCTCTCATAAGAACGTCATTCGGAGCGTTCCGTTCTTTCAACCTACCCAATTTATTTAGGTGGATCAATTCAAAATAGTCTTTCAATAATTATCTAGGATACCTATAAATTAATGCGAGATTTTCTGAAACATTTTAAAAATAGCGCAATAAAAATAAATTACTGTGATCTCAAAACGTTAAATTTATTCCTTTTGTTAATTCCTTTTGTTAATTTGTCTTTACTTCAGACTAAAGAATTCAGTTAAAAGGCTCGGCCTTTAGTCTTCATTTTTGTTTTCCTTTGCGAAGTATTTTTGAATTGTTTTCTCTTTGTAAACTACATCAATATTGGTTCTTAACTTCTTTTTTTCAGGAATGGCGCCTCGTGAGAAGCAACGACAGAAAGAGGACGAAAACGAGGCAAAAGAGCCGAAAAAGTTAAACTTCGGAGCGGGGAAAGACCAAAATGGTGGGACATATCGACGTTTTCGAAAGTTGGTTTTTGCTGTTTGTTAATTTAGGAAAGACTTAAATTTCATTGATCATAACATCTTTGTTGCAGTTTGTATATGCGTTGCTTAAGAAGTTAAATCTACAATAAGTGATATTAGGTCGTAAAGATTTGCTTTTGCGGATGTTTATTGAAAAAAAGACAAAGTTTGTCAAAAAGTTAGGCAATACAAATAAGTGCTAGTGATAAGGTTGATGAAGATTAAATTGAACAAATCACTAAATAAAACTTGATAAGTAGATGGTTTTGCTTTTAAAACATTTAAGTTCTTTGAGTTTTATTCAATGCGCTCTTTTAGGATGATAACAAACACGGAATGTTAGAAGAATCGTCGTTTTCTTGCGTCTTCCCGAAGTATCGAGAGAAATATATTAAGGTGTGTCTCGTTTCTAATTTCTAATAATGACAATTTCTTCTCAGGAATGCTGGCCCATCTTTGAAAAGACGGTGAAAGAGCACGAGTTGAGAGCTGATTTTGATTTAATTGAAGGTACCTTTAAAACATGAGTATTGTGAAGAGATAAAATACCTAGTCCCAAAACACAGCAAGAACCTCTACTAAATTTAGGCACAATGACTGTTCGCACTACAAGAAAAACCTGGGATCCGTATGTAATCATCAAGGCAAGGGACTTAATTCGTCTACTATCACGAAGTGTCCCAATTGATAAAGCTAGCAAGGTTGGTACTGTTTGCACGCTGGATCATAGTATGGTTTTTAGGTTCTTGAAGATGATATTACATGTGAGATTTTGAAGATATCCGGAATGGTTTGTTATTTGAAATTGGATTGATCTGTTTTATTTAGTGTCACAACAAAGAGCGATTCGTTAAGAGGCGCGCTCGATTGGTTGGTAATGAAGGAGCGACTTTAAAAAGTAAGGTTTTTTTGCTAGTCTTAAATAAATTCGATTGTAGGCTATTGAATTGTTAACCGAATGCCATTTGACTGTACAAGGAAGCACTGTTGCTGCTGTTGGACCATTTCACGGGTTAAAGCAAGTCACGTGAGGTTTTGCAAATGGAAATATTTATAACCATTACGCTCAAGCGTTTTCAGGGAGATCATCATCCTCCTACATTAATATGTAACCAAATTATTTGAAATTTTCAGCAATATTGTCACTGATTGTATGGCCAAAAACATTCATCCGATTTTCAACATCAAAACACTGATGATCAAACGAGAATTGGCCAAAAAACGAAAAGCTAAAGGACGAGAATTGGGAGAGATTTTTAACCAAGTTCAGAAAAAGGTTGGTTTAGTGGATCAGAAAATGAATTTTTGTAACATGTTCGCATTACGATATTTTATATAGGTTCAATCAGCGGCCACTACAGCGGAAGCGAAAAAGAAGAAGGCCAAGCAATGGAAACAGAAAGGAGAATATACGCCATTCCCGCCTACACACAGCTTAGCAAGGTAGCTGTTTGCTATTTTACTTATACCATTGGGTTAACACAAGTCAAGTAATTCGACGATATACATATATTACTAATACTGTTTTGTACAGTTCATTGGATTTATCTAGCTGACTTGCCTTTAAACTCATAACTGGATAGCTGACAAAATAATTAGCATTTATTTTTAGTGTTGATAAGCTTCTGGAAACTGGTGAATATTTTGCTACCGAAGAGGAAACGATTGAAGGACAAACGGAAAGAAAAAGCCGAAAAGATGGAGCAACGAACAAAGGAAAGAGTAAAGTATGTGACTTCTTTGAATAAGGTTTTGCATAAGGGTGAACTCATTTATTGCTAATGTTAAGCAATTGCTAACTAAACTTATTTTTAGGGAACGAAACGAAACACTTGTTCCGAAAGAAGAGAAACCCATTGAAAGGCTACAAAAAGAAAGGTAATGCCTTTTAATGTTGCTATATTTTGTTTTCATTCTCAGGCTGAACCAGACGGTGGACATTGCTGCTTTGAAGAAGAAAACGAAAAAGTTAAAGTCTACTTAAATTTCTAAGTTTTCTTGTGGTTGTTACGTTGATTGTTATTTTTTGATTTTGTTGTTATTTGTATAGTCCTATCAAGATACATGTTTTCAATTCATTTTTATTTTGACATCAAAACTTGATAAAAAACGAAACATCATACTCGTATTCAAAGTGAATTGGGATGGTTTGGGGACTACGAATCTGTCACAATTTGAAATTATTTTATAACAGCACTGCTCTCAGACATGATACTACATTTTCTACGACAATACGAGATCTATCAATGATTTTCTATATTCCCGAAGCTTTATTTCATATGTGGGGCCCGTAATCAGCTCTTGGAAAGCAAAAAATTATTTTCCTAATAATGAGGACGGAGGTGGTGGGTTTTTCGTTCTCGAGAGTTAGCCGGTCAGGATGACATCGAAGTGATTATCCCTCCTTACATTTGATATTAATTTGTATCCCGAGACTTCTCGATGGCTATTCTTAATTTTCTCCCCTTCTCTTTCTTCTTAAGGGGAGCTGTAGTGGGCTCATCTCCTCTTGCCCATGATTATCGAACCTCCAATCCGACCGAATCTTTTTGCCGATTCCTCTTGCTGTTTACGCTGAAATTATAGTTTTATTATTGAGGATTTGGCATTAGTGTTTTTGATCGTCGATCACCTTCATTTTGCTAGGCAAAAAAACAAGAATAATAATTTCCAACGGTTGAACTTTGGCTATTGGTTTTCTGAACTAATCAACAAGGATTTAGTGATTAATTTACGAGTAAACTGGCTAGCTAACAGATAACAGAATTTGATGAAGATTGGGGTAAATATTAGGTTGGCAAGAAAGTTCGTAGAAAAAGTGTTTGCACCGTGATTTCTCAAAAACGAAGCCATAAATTCTTCCCAGATTTTTTTTGATAAACTTGACTATATTTCCAACAAATTAGAGTGGGCTGCAGGTAAAAAATAAGAGATTTCTTGAGCTGGAGTGACTTGGTCACTTTTTGAGTGACCAGCCTTTAGGACAATTTTTAATGGGTTAATGGATGGGCAATGGGTCCCATTCCTAAACCTAAAATCAAGTACTTAAAATAGGGAAAATTAGTGATTAACGCAAATTTTATCTAATGCTTTCACTTTTCAGAATCACCTATTCTAGCCAAACACTCAGTGCCAAGAAGATGACACGAAAAAATGATTTTTTGAAATACAGCTTCTTTGTCAAAAATTTTTGGTCTAAATATAGAGATTATAGAGACTAAAATAGAGATTATAAATTATTGCTCATTTATGCTAGCTTTACCTCATAAGAAATCGTTTTTATGGTGCAAAAAGTGAGCAGAATTTAAGCTGGAAAATAATCAATTTTACAAAATCTCTAATTTTAAGGAAAAGTGGTACTCATTTTTTTACGAGTAATTTCTTGTAGTCCACTTGTAAATAATAGACACAAATGTTCTTGAATTGGTGAATTCGTTTTTAAGAAATTCCTTCCAGTCAAACTTTTTCCGAGAACTTTCTTTCCAATCTAATATTTTTGTTAATTGATTGATCGTGGTTTTTGAAATTCATGATAAAGCTCACCGGGTCAAATTCTTCCATGACTCGTTTGTTGCGCTTCGATTTTCGGAAATGATGTGGTTGATGTGAGGGGAGATTTGATGAGGATTGAGATGCGTGAAGATTGCGTAATTCTTCATACATTTGTCGCCTTTCCATCTCTTGCTCGATCCGCTCCATCAGTTGGACCTCTTGCGAGCTGAAATGGAGTTGATAAGAAGCGGGAAAGCATTGTGAGCATAACTTAAAAGAAAACGATTTCTATATCAAACTTTCTAGAACTCAATGAACTGGCTTTTTTTGCTATTCAAACGCTAAAAAGATACTGTAATCCGTGCCACTACAATAGCCCTGATATCAAGACAAAGCCATTCAGTTGATAAGCTGAAGTTGATAAGCTGAATATTTTTAGTTGTCATTCATAGAGATTCAAACTTCAGAATGTATATTTTTATGCGAGCATACTCTTATAAAACAACGGGTCTTGAGGATGTTGAGATCAAGATTTTGAAAAAAACTTTTTTATAATTGTTTTAAACGAACTCACTTTTCCTTTTGTATGGTCACAATTGCTATCCTTTGTGGGAAAGCCTCGGTGAACACCAATTGAACGATGATCAAAAGAAGACTCGTCTCGTAAAGCCGCCTCAACAAGCAATACACAATGGCCATTTTTTTGATGAGTTTCCTCTGAAATCGACCAGTTTTATATAGAATTTGTGTGTGAGTTGCGAAAAAATCGAGAATTTTCGATTAACATTACTTTGAAGGAAAATCTCGAGAAATTAAGAGGCTTTGTGAGGATTTCAAATGGCGAGAGACAGAATTTTGATCTCTTCAACTTCGAGAATTTAATTTTTCTCCAAGAATTCACTAGACAGGTGCTTCAGATTAGCCACAAAAGGGATTTCTTCAAAATTGTAAGCAAAAAGTGAAATAGATGCTTGCTTGTACCAAATGGAAATAAAATCGAAATTTTCAACTCAAATTATTTAGCTTGTTGTGTTGGAACGCGAAAATAGCACGTAAAAATCATCAAAACAAAGAAAGAGAAAGAGGATTGTGTTCCGAATGCAAAAAAGACGAGTAGACATGTGGAGAAGATTAATGGAATTATCCCTATCCCCTTTTTCCGAAGAGAAAACGTATCTCTGCAAATGCAAAAAAAAGGAGAAGCGAAATACTATTCATTATAAAGATTTATGAAATATTCTCCTTGTTCCCCATTTTCTCCTTTGTAATGAATATTTCATCGGAGTGGGCCCGAGTTGACCCCGGCTGAAGAACCTTTGTTCTTTTTTTCTCCCATATTCTTCATATTTTTCGAGTTAAAACTAAAATAGGAAAATACAGAAAGGTGAAACGTCATTGCTTTTGAATTAAAGGAGACAAGATTGATTTGGGAAAATGAAATGAATCCGGTAAGGAAATTCAAAAACGGGGCGGGCCCAAAACTGCCAAGAGAATCGGTGGTTGGGTGAATGGGGAGAACTCCCCTCGACAGCCCACCTTTTATACCCACCCATCAACTAATCTCGACTCGTTTTTTTCTTGGCGATTATCCCATAATTAAGAAATTTTATATGTGTATTGAAACTTCACTAGACCTTTTTTGCCTTTTCAAGCGAGGGTGGGGATTTAAGCTGAAAAGAGAAAGAGAGATAAACAACAGGTGGGTTGAGCTGTTGGAAGTTCTTGGAAAATCTACCCAGAAGAGCCCATCAGGAAGCGGATTGCCCAGGAATTTCAAAGGAAACCGATAGATCAAGGATTTCAAAAAACTTTCGACAATATAAAAGATGTTGAGCCGATGGGAATGGCTTCAAATACTTGAAATTGTGGACTGTGTGAAGTGTTTGCAAAACAGACATTTCGTAAAATAGAATGTGCAAAACTGATAATACAAACTGATTTACAGTACTCAAGAGTTAAAGATAATCCTTCAATAAAAGTTCGTCGTTAGAAAAAAGGAAATAGAGTTCATCTTAAAGAATTTCATCAACGAGCCATAAAATGAAACTTTTTTAGAAATAGAAATGAAGTTTTTAAAATAAAACTTAAAGATTTCAACATGATAAGCAAAAATTTATGAAGCGTAGACATAAAATAGTTGACTTTCCAAAAAGGAAAATTGATTTGACTGTAAGTACATTACGAAAATACCCAAAAACACATAGACAACGTGAAGACAACTTCTCCATTTCTCTATTTAAATCAAAATCCAATTTCCGGATCAAATTCATTACGAAAATCAATAAAAACAACGAATTGGGTTAAGCAAAATTGACGGAAGAAATCTCATAAGCACAAATGAAATGAAATTTCCCCTTTCTTCCCTTTAACAACTCCATTTTCAAGAACTCCAAAAAAACGCTTTTATGTCAAAATCGGATCTGAAGACACGTGTGTAAATATATCAAAATATATGTAAATATATCTAAACTACAAGATTTCCTTCAAAAATTCGTACCCGAACTTTCTTTTTTAGAGGAAATGACTACAGAAACGTGATTGAATGGCTTCACGAATAGGACTTCTGTTTGTTTGAATTTAAAGGGATAATTGCACAAGTTCAAATCGATTTCTATGCATTTCTAAAAAAATTGAATAGAAAGTGAATACAGACATGACGTTTTCGTGAAGGAAACGTGGCCATGTGAGATTTCTTTTTCGGGTACAGACGGTCGTTGATTTGAAAATTATAGCTTTATTATCGAGGATTTGGCATTAGTGTGTTTTTTTGTCGTCTCTTAGCTTCATTTTGCTAGGGTTACTGTACAAAAAAGCAAGAATGATGATTTTCAACGGCTTTGGCTAGTGGTTTTCTGAACTAATGAAACAAGGATTTGGTGATTAATTTACGAGTAAACTGGCTAGCTAAAAGATAATTTGATGGAGATTATGGTAAATATCATCGTTGATTTATCGTTGATCATGGCTTTTGAGAATTCTCGATCAGCTCACCGGATCGAATTCTTTCATGAATAGGATTTCTGTTTGTTTGAATTTAAAGGGATAATTGGAAAAGTTCAAATCGATTTCTATGCAACTAAAAAATTTGGATAGAAAGTGAATACAGACATGACGTTTTCGTGAGGGAAACGTGGCGATGTGAGATTTCTTTTTTCGGGTACAAACGGGCGTCGATTTGCATGGAGATGTTGGGATTGATGAAAGATGATGAAATTTGTGTCGTCTATCTCTTTCAGGAACATTCATTGCACTAACTATAGTTAAAAAATTGTAAAAAAAGATTAGGAGTTGTGATAATTCTTTGCAATTATGTTTAAAGAAAGCTTGGCTTTGATTATCTTTCAAAATTCATTTTCGAGAATTAA